GGGTTGGGGCGGGCCGGGGGCAGGTGCGGGGCGGGCTGGACTGGGGCGGGGAGCGGAGAGCGGGGCGGGCTGGAGCGGGCGGGCCCGCTCTGGCGGCGGCGCTGGCGCTGCTCGGCTCCGCGCCGGGGCAGCCGGTGAGTGGGGCCGGGGCGGGCAGGCTGAGCCCCTGCCACCGACTGCGGGCACGGCTCGGTGAAGGGGGCAGCGGTGGGGAACACTGTTACGGCGGGCTGGACGAGCTCCGGGAGGAATGCGCCTTTCCTCCTGGAGTCGGGCTGACAAAACTTTTTGCGGTTCAGTGAAAGTGTTTGCGGTGGTGCCGGAGCCCCGGGCCGTGGCGGTGAGCGGCGCCCGCAGCGCAGCCCGAGCCCGGCGGGGCAGCGCCGGGGCTGCCGCTCGGTCCCGGAGAGACGGCGCGGGGTGTGCGGACACGGACGCGCACGTACAGACACATACACGTGAGTTTCCATACGTTCGACACTCCCTTTGCACAGCCCTGGCTGTGCCGGCAGCTGGTAGGGACTGCGGGCGCCGGCAAGGGGTCTGCTGTTAAGTGGCTTTTTTTAATACGGTGTTATCTTAATCTATGCAATACACCGAAAAAACACACTGACGTTATTTTGCATAATAAGTTCTTTCCCTTAAGGAAACAAAGTCGAGGCGGGGGGTGAGGGAAAGGAAGCAGTTTTGTACCCTTGTATTTCCAGAGAACATGTACGCAGTTTTGCTCTCCTATCAATAGTGATACTAGTCTAGAAAAAGACATTTCTTGTTATAGACAGGTAAGCTGCATTGCCGTAGCTTTATTCTTTAAGCTGTGCTGAGTGTGGTTTCTTGCCTGTTCTTCTAAAAGGTCTTCTAAAAGGTGCAGTAGAAAGCACAACTCAATTCCAATTGTAGAGTGAAAAATCTGATTTCACTAAGCTTATCTCTGTACTGAAAATTAAACTAAAAGCAAACAAGCAAATCAAACAGTCCCACAAACCAAATCTGCATAATCAGTACAGGAGCAGCAGTCCTTACCCACATGTAAAGCTGAGAGGTGTATTTAGGTTTTTTTTCAGAATGCTAGGTGAAAGTTTCAGGCAAGTTAGACTGGCTGTGTCCTTATCCTCCTGTGCTGCACTGACCATTAACCATTTAGGAATGTCTTCCAGCTTAGGCTTTATGCTGTCAGATGATAAAATAAAGTCTCTGAAGTATATTATTTGACACCTTAGAGAACATACTTTTCTTGTCTTGTTTTAATCAGGAATGGTGTGATTGAAGTCCTCATCAGTATATGGTGAAAATAAACAATAAAAGTTGTTTGGGACTGTGCAGAAATAGTCTGTATCCACATTCTATAGGTTTTGTGAAAAGAAGCTGATTTGTTGAATAGTGAAAGGGAGCTGGTAGTGACCAGTGAGAGGATCTGGAAGTCCTGCAGAAACAGGAAACTTACTTTAGAAGCAGAACAGGTATTTTCTTCTAGGCATGTTTCACAATGTATAGGCTATTTGAATGACTTTTAAATACTTTAAATGCTGTGTCTGTTTCCGCATTATAGGATGACTTGCCAGCTTCTTCCAGAACCACACTTAAAGGAGACTAAATGAAGGCTTTGCAGCAAAGTTTTTAGTTTGAACTCCATATATAGATCTAGTAAACCATAATTTCAGAAAGTCTTAAA